GAAACTAAATTTTATATTTTATATACATTTTGACTTGTTGATTTTTACAAACACATCTTTTTAAGATTTTATTTTTAAGTGATCTCTATACTATATGTGGGGCTTAAACTCACAACCCCAAGATCAAGAGTCACATTACCTACCGACTGAGCCAGCCAGGCACCCCTAAACACATCTAAATAAATGGGTCACAGCCTTCAAATATACCTATAGATGGCATTGTTTTTGATAGATAAAGTGAAAGATTAAAGAAAAACTATAAAAAACACCAAGTATAGTCTAAAGTAAAGAAGCAAAATGAAAATGTATTCCAAAGCATAAATTTAGGTAAATTTACCTGGTGTCAGTTAAACAGAATTAGAAATTTGAGCTTGAATTAAATTTAACGAATAGGTTTCCTTCTTTCTTGATTTGTTGGATTATTACAGCTCAACTATTTCAGAGATTATGAATGATCATCTACTCTTCATCAGTCCTAAAGCAACACTTATAATTAAAACTCCAATATTTCCAACACAGTACTTGGTCTGTTTGATAATTTTAACTGTCAACTCTCCACCAGAACCACGGCACTTACTTTCTTTGAATCACTCAAATCCTCCCAAGATGTTTAGTTTATTGATTTTTCCCATTACTTCACCTCCCCCAAAAGAAACAATCAACTGTTTCATTTTTCAACTCTAATTCCATTTACTCTCCATAAATCAGCTTTTGAAAAGCCCAATCCCTGATGTAACTCTAATGAGCCATTCTTCCTACTCCTATTTCTAGGAATTAGAGAACTACTGGGGAAAAAAAAAAACACACAAAGCAAAATTGATATTCTAAAAGTTTTTAAAGAGTACCCCCAATTTATCCATTACTGCTTCCTACTTTCTATTTATGCCTCAAATTCCTACACATAACCTCCATGAGATTAGAATTTCTTTAAAATACAATGTACCTTTCTCACAAAATCCTCCTCTCCATGCTTTACAACCTCTCCTTGCTAATTACTGACAAGTTCGATAGTTCTTACTGACCAGGTCAATTGTTATTCTGCCAAAATGGGAGAATGAGGCCTCAATTTCCATCTGCCTCTCTCTCTAAGATTTATTTTATATAGAGAGAGCGCATGTAAGTGAGCTGGGCAAGGGGGCAAAGGGAGAGGGAGAGAGCGAATCCACAGGCAGACTCCCTGCTGAGTGCCGAGCTCAATGATGCAGGGCCTTGCAGGGCCTGGATCCCAGTACCCTGAAATCATGACCAATATCAAGAGTCAGCTGCTCAACCGACTGAGTCACCCAGCTCCCCCTGCCTCTCTATCTTAACATGACCTTGTCTAGCTTCCTTGTCCCATTTCTTCCACTGCTTCAGAAAATGAGATTGTTGTTCCTTTCCTCTGAAGAGAACTTTACCACCTATTGTGAGGAATCATATTATCCTGACTTTCAGCAACCTTGTCCTCACACCTGTCCTTTTTTGGCAAAAATCTTTCCTACTCCAATGGCTCCTTGATGCTGTTGCACTTGACAATAACTGACCACTTTATTACAGTCTCTCTCTCCAAGACAACTATCATGACATTGTCCTATTTCCAGTTCTCAATATCTTAAATTATGCCTTACTAGTTTCTTTTATACTCTCTCACCCTTAATGCTTAGCATGCCTTTTTCCCCACCAAGTTTAATCTTTGTTCCTCTGTTTTCTCTATGTCTACTGAAGAGGGCATGGGAAATTACAGGCTGGAATTACAGGGAGGAATTAGGCTGGCAATCTGTAGTTCCCCACATATATTGGGATGGGAAGAAGTTGAGAATTACTGTTTACCACTCCCTATGGAGTATTCATTTATTCTCACACTTATGGCAAGTAAGCTACCATACTTACATCTATTCAATAACTCCCCTATTCAGTTTTTCTCTATAATTTGACCTCTTCCCAGAGACCCACTCCATGCTTTCAGAGGCACGATGAATATTTATATCATCATGTCCCACTATCAGACATTTCCAACTTGACACAACCAAACTTTGAAATCTCCCACCTAAAACATATTCTCTATCTTTTGAATGACCCAATCAATCTCTATTACCCAGATTAGAAAAGGTGGGGTTGGTCTCCTTCATTTCCTATGTCCAGTTAGTGATCAGTTCATCATTTAGGCTGCAACATTATCTTCATCAAAGAGAAGGGGCAGAGAAGTCCCCATTCAGAAGAGTTATCCTCATCCATTCTTCCTGCTACACTCACTACAATCTTACCCTTAGTCTAATCTCAAACGAACAAGACCACTTTCATCACGTTATTCCTCTGTCCAGTAATTTTTAATAGTTCCCTATTATCAGCTAAATATAAAGTGTAAACATCACTAGTGATGGGTCTTCTGAAATCCGACCGCTACTTTCGTAACATATTTACTATTTTTCTTTACTGTAGCATTTCTCAAACGTTTTAGTGTCAGGACCATTACAGTCCTAAAAATTACAGTCCTCCAAAGAGCCTTTGTCTATGTGGGTTATATCTACTCATATTTACCATACTAGAAATGAAAATTGAGAAAATTTTTAAACAGAAAAATACATAAGCACACATTCCTGTCAGAGGAATGATATCACCACACATCACATAGCCTGGGAAACTCCACTGACACTTGTGAAAGAATGAGAATGAAAAGGCAAATAACATCTTAGTATTATGAAAATATTTCTGACATCTAACACCCCTGGCTCACTTAGAGAACACCGCTTTATCAGACCTTTCATCTCTTTCCCTGTCTCCCTATTGATGATTACTGATGAGTATTATTTGTGTGTAGCCATAGCCTGGAGGCAGAAAGAAGGCTAAAAGCCACAGATTTATAAAATATCCTCCAAATTAATTAGCACGCCTGCTCTTTAACAGTCTAACCCAACCTATCAATTTTACATTCTGCTATTACCATTTCCTTCCCCTCTTCCTCTGCACTCCCGACCAAGGTTGGAATCAGGAAAAAAAAAACAAATCTTTTTCTGCTTCACCATCTTTGAAGACACTATTCCTTTTGACTGAAAGGCCTTCTCTCACTCATCCTTCAGACCCAGTTCGTAGGTTACCTCTTCTATAAAGCTTTCCCTTGATATATCCCATCCCCAGTCACCCTTCCCTCTGTAATCCCAAAGCACATTTAGAACTTATCACATTACATTGTAATTATTTATACATAGACATATACTAGCTCACTAATAGTGAGCTACATGAGGGCAGACTTGCATCTTGTTTTTGTATTTCTAGTACCTCACCCATAGTGGTAATTCAAACGTTTGATCATTTCATCAAAGCCATGTCTTTGAAAGAGACAATTAAATGCTCATCTATCTCCCCAAATTCCAGACCAGAGGAAGGAGCAACTCTGAACTTCTGCAGTACTGTATGGAAACTAAGAGAAGAGAAAAGCCTAAAGGAAACTGTTATTCCTTCCTACAAAAAAACCTGGGGATTTCGGCCCATATATCAAGTCTAACTCCCGACTCTGACCCTAAAGGCCTTCATCAAGTGCTCTTCACCTTTTCAATCTTATTTTTTATTATTCACCAGTATGAACTTAACCACTTCTTTTATGCAAACACACACACACACACACACACACACACACACTATCCATTCTATTTTCATCCTTTTTGTTTACACCCTTCCCTCTCCCAGAATTCCATTTCCCTTTTATTTTAAATTCTATTTTTCCTTAAAAGCTTGGTTCAAGACCACAAATTCCATGAAACTCTCTGGGACTACGCCAAAACAAAGAAAAATTTCCCCTTTTGGAATATCTAATACATTTCCATCTGTTTTCTATAACCTAAAAATTTATATTTATATAAACATATTTATATTTATAGTGCTTTGTCTTGCACTGTCCTTTAATAATTTCAAGTAAATCAATGATGCAACCCCAAATAGCTCAACAGCTCTTCAAAAGCAGGCAGTCTTCAAGAAACATTTGAGTGCCCTTATATACCAGATACTCCCAAGGTTTCTAATCTTATTTCTTTTGCATCAGCCCTTGCTAGTAACAGGAAAATGAAGGCATATAATAAATACTATTCCCTTTACTTGATTTTCTTCCTAACAGGTCAGAATAATCCAGGATATTTTTTTTCCAGGAAACATTTTATCAACAGATATAATCATCAATTTGGAAATAAAATGTGTGCCATAAGATGCTTCTTCTCAGCACCCTAAAACCGCAAGCTTGAGTAAGACACTTCAATTATACATAACTGAGTCCTCGATATACTTAGGTTTTGAAGAGCCCTTCCTTTTTTTGTTCCTCTACCTTGAATATGTCTTTTCTTATTTTAGTCATTACAGTTTTAGTTCCCTTAACATATTCTGATGTGAGGTTACTAGTAATAATGCCAAACTATCTAAGTAGAGCCAAAGAAACAAGGCAAGTAAAAATCGGGCATAAAATGAAAACATAATCTTTGAAAACCAAGAAGTTATGGTAATTGGGCTCAGACCAATGCTTTCCCTTAAATGGAATTTGTCAAAGGGGCCACATCTTCCCTGTCACCATTTCCTTAAGTATCTTACACCCAAATGGCACAAGTATTAGTTGGAAAATCGACTGAACATAACCATCAAAACTTGCTCCTTGATAACACGGATTGATAGTAACTTCTGAAGATCATTTTCCCCAATTCTTCACTCTTTTGCATATGTGACAAGGTCAGTAAGAAGGAAACGTAGAAAAATATAGTTAAAAAAATAATCCTAGGATTTAGGATGCTCTAAGTCCTAGTTGTTTTTAAGTACATCAGCCTGAACTCATTTAAACACTTGAGAGACCCGGGGTTGCCGGCAATTCTTTAGGAAATACATATAAGAATATTCTTTGGACAAAGGAGTCCCATAATGAATTTCAAAAGAACAGACTACTGATGAATGAGGAAAGAAAAGAAGCCGTCAGCTGACATGCAGCAGCTTCTTCACCCCGTTCCCCCCCCTCCCCAAAAGCGGTAGGAAATAGCTGCAGAATGTACCTTCCAGGCCAGAAGCAAAACATTGAGGATGGCCAGCAAAGGGCAGGGTCCATTCTCATTCTGAGTGATGATGGGTGTGTTCTCTTCCTTCCACTGGATCCACTTGATGTGATAGACAGACTGTCCCGGGAAGCGTTCCTTGGAGGCCGCCAATACCTGAGCTTCCTCCCCCTCCTCCTCCTCCTCTTCTCGGCAGAGAGGCACAGCCCCGGGCAACACCGCCGCGCCCGCGCCCTCCTCCTCCTCCTCCCCAGGGACCCTGTTCTCCGCTCCCTCCTCACTATTAAACTCAGAGCTACTGGGGAAAGAATGCAGGTTAGAGAACGACTCCAGGGAGTCCAGGCTCGGCGATTCCCCAGGAGGGCTCGGGTCGCTGCAACTGCTGCTGAGGCCGCCGGCGCTGCTGGGCTCCTCGGACCCGGCGGCCGCCAACTCTGCCCGGCAGGTGCCGGCGGCATCCGGGCGGGGGCCGGCGTCTCCGGCCGGACCCGATCCATGGTCCGCTCCGGCCTCGGCTGTCTCCGGGGAGGCGGTCACCTTGTGCTGCCCTCTCGGAGGCGTCTTCTGGGCGGAAGGATTCTTCAAATCGCTCTCCTTTAAGTCCAAGCCCGGGAAGGAGCTGCAGGGTCCGGGAACCTGAGGAGAGCCGGCGGGAGAAACCGAGTCCAAGAGGCTCCTCCCGGCGGCCGCCGCCCCCTGCCCATTCCCGCCGCTGCTCTCCGCCGCCCATACTCCAGGACCATCCCCAGCGGCGAGCCTGGTCTCCGGTTGCCCTTCCTGCGGAGAACCTGTCCCTGGCGCTGGCTCGGCGGCCACCCCGTGTTCTAGCGGCTGCAGGCTCCCGGGGCCGCTCTCCATACCCAGCCGCCAGCCCCTCACTCTAAAGAGACCGCGGCGGGTTCTCTTCAGCCAGCGCCTCAGACGCCATGACAGCGGCACTGGCAGCAACAGCGCCCTTGCGCGGCCTCCGCCAGGCACGTCACGGGGAGGGCACCAGCGCGCACGAGCGCGCCACCGCGCTATCCGCCGGCTCCGGGCGAGCCTGCGCGCCGCCCGGTGAGGCCGAACCGCGCCGCGGCCCTCATGCGGCTCCGCCCCTCCTGCGCGCCCGCCTGCCTGAGATCGGACTCGGAAGGCGGGGCGTGGCGGGCGTGGCTAGGAGGGAGTGACCAGAAGGAAAACATCCTTTCACTATGTGGCCGGAAGTTGAACTCTGGGGCAACCCGACCGCGCGCGGCTTCTTTAAAGGCGAGGCGGGCGGCGTCTAGTTTGTTGTGACCCTTCTGATCTGGGTTGTGTGTGGCCCAGCCTAGGGCTCAAGAATGGGGGGGTTGGCGGTGTTTGTGTTGTTTGGCAAAGAGCTCGTCCCCGAAGAGCTCAGGAGATGTTTCCTCGGCTTGAAATATGGAAAATTGAAGGAATTTTTTACGAGATGCAGATTTTTAAAGGCTGGAATCTACTCGAGGTGTTTGGATTACTACACCGCATAAATCCCAGTCTCCCAGGGTTTTGGCTGAGAAACACTGGGCTCCCCACCAGCTGCTGGTGAAAACGTTCGCCCTACTTGAGGCGCCAGTAAGGTTGTGGATATTGGCCTGCACAGCAAAAAAAAAAAAAAAAACCAACAAAAAAAAAGAACCTGGGTAATTTGGGCCAGTAATAATAAATTAGCTTGTGCCTGAATTAGCCAAGTCTTTGCGGTTTTGTTAACTTGGCCTCACTTTGGATAGAGTGGGAAGTGCCTGTTCTTGAAAGAGTTTTCTAATTAGAATTGATTCGTCTTAAAGCCGCGCAATTTTCAGAGAGGGCGGAGTAGCCTGGACGTTTTGTTCGTGACAAAATGGGATTTGGATCCTATTATGACCTGTTCTCGACAAGGAGCGCCCCCCCCAGGCCTTTTTTTTAGTGTTTCATCATTTTTTTAGGCCCCAGAGATACAACAATTGACAAGACAAGTCTTACTTTGTAGTTAGGCATGTGAATACCTGACACCTAATGGAATGGTATCTGTATCTCTTTTAGTTAGAAAAAGTAGACAAAATTACAAACTAGTTTCATTCACTCATTTAACACGTTTCAGGACCAAGTACACTGCTGGATACTGTGGCACTGGGGATGCTCTGGTGATTAAGACAAAGAGCTTATATCTTCTTTGGGTTTACTGTCTAGTAATTTTTTTTCTTATTGCTATATTTTTAATACTTCCTTGGGAAGTATGGTTTCCTGAGAATACAGAAGATGGAGCTTCTTCCACCTTTTCGCATTAGCACAATATTGTGAAAAAATTTAAAAATAAATAAATAAATAACTGAAGGTATAGTAGATGAATAATTGAATGACTGGATAATTTACAGGCCAGCAACCACAGAGCCAAAACGTCCAGAACACATGTCTTAATAGCCTTTCACTATTTAAAAAAAAAAAAACCTGCTTAGATGGGAGAGTACTTGCTCTAGTAGTTTTCACTCGTATATGTTTCAAATGCTCATATGCATAATTTAATTATTTATAATAGAAACAGAACCAATTTTTCTTTTTATATGTTGTCAGCAATTACATAAGCCAATATGAACAGTGGTGAAAATGTACATATCTAATTATTTAAGTTTGTGAAAATGTACATAGTTATTTTCCTAAGGAGGTGGGGAGTGGTATCTAGGGAGAAATGCCAGAAGACAATAAACTGAAAAATGTCTCATTCTTTTTTGCATATATGTACATATATATATATAATGTGAGGTAAAATATACCATTTTAAAATACAATAGTTACTATCCAAACTTTTTAAATTATTTTCCAAAGTTACAGATATAACAGTCTTAAAGTCCAATAGTTTATATAAAAACAAAGCAGTTCCCTGCTCCATTCCTCTACATTTTTGAGTCCTGTTCTTTAGAAGCAGTCTTATTCAACTTTTAGATATTCTTTAGCTCCTTATACCCGAATTTTTGAGTAACATCATTACACTCTGATTTCTTCATTTAAAAATCGTAGATTTTGTTTATTGATTTATTCTTATGGGAGCTGAGGATTTAGTTCTTTTCTCTCATACCATTCTTCCTCCTCTTGCTCCAGCCTCCCAATTACTTCAAAAATTTTGATTAAATAAGGTATCAAAGTTTAAAGGATCAGACTTATGTGAATATTTTTTACCATTTAAGTTGGGTATTTTACTATGACTGCGATTACATTTTTTTTTTGTTAAAGTTTTTGTTTTTCCTGGAATTAACAATTACCTCATTGTTTCATTTGTTTGCTTAACTCTTCACCTATCACTATCTCAACCATAGACTTACCAGAACAGTCAAACCTATCAGGTTACCGCTCAGATCCATTTTAATCTTGGGTATATCCCTCCTCAAACACTTACTTCTCTTGCTCTGATCTAAATTTACTATTTTACAGGGCTGCTGCCCAGCTGTCATCCTGAGACTTCTCTTCACTATTGTCTTAGGAGTTCCTTCCTCCTCATTTGCATGTTGATTCCTTTCTTTCTTGGATCTCCTGTCTTCTTTCTTTGATTTGGTGGAACATATTCTTATTTAGCTTCCTGAGAAAGAGTGCATAGGAAGCACATTTTTGTAGATTGTGTATGTCTGAAAAAAGACCTCTATTTTACCTTTACGTTTATAAGGTTTGGCTAGATATAAAATTCAATGTTGGAAATACTTTTTCTTCATTTTGAAGTCATTGATCATCATCTTTGAGCTTCCAGATGATTATAATAGTCTGAGACTCCAGAACCTTTGTATATAACCCATGTCTTCTCTCTGAAGTTTATTCGATTGTCTCTTTCTTCTTGGTGTTCTGACATTTCAGTATTTGATATACTTTTGGGTGGGTCTTGCTTTATTCATTGGGCTGCATACTTGGTGATCACATTCAATGTAGAAACTTATGTTCTTCAGTTCTGGAAAATTTTCTTTTTTCATTTCTTTTGTAATTCTTATTTATTCTTTCATCTTATTTATCTTTTTGTTCTACTTTCTGAGAGATTTTCTCAACTTTATCATTCAATTCTTTTTTTTTAAGATTTTATTTATTCATTTGCAAGATGGACAGAGAGAGAACAAGCAGAGGGAGAGGCAGAGGGAGAGGGAGAAGCAGACTCCCTGCCAAGCAAGGAGCCTGATGCGGGACTCGATCCCAGGACCCCGGGATCATGACCCGAGCCGAAGGCAGACGCTCAACCATCTGAGCCACCCAGGTGCCCCTTTAATTCTTTTTTAATGCATTGTTTACTGGTACTATTGTATATTTAACTTCCAAGAATTCTTTCTAGTTCCTTTTTATTGCTTAAAGGCACCTGACCTTTCATCTCTTAGAATATTGATCACAGTTTTTAATGTATCCTTTACATTTTTCAAAGGATGTCTGAACAATATGCTATAAAAAGTATACTTAGTATGGAGTTACTGATAGTGTCAGAGAGTGAGATATGGGGGATACAAGTGTAAAACATTGATTTTACTTTTTGGAAGGGCAAAATTGGTTTTGGGAAATAAGATATAGTCACATGAAATGTTGAGAATATGTCAGTTAATAACTAATACTAAGTGAGTGGTGGGGCACCTGGGTGGCCTAGTCAGTTAAGTGTCTAATTCTTGATCTCAGCTCAGGTCTTGATCTCAGGGTTGTGAGTTCAAGCCCCATGTTGGGCTCCACATTGGTGTGGAGCCTACCTAAAACAAAAAATACTGAGTGGTACAAGCAATAACATAAAAATTCAGATGAGGAAAATCTTTTAGTATGAGATAATTGAGGAATTAAGCTACATTATCCTAATTAAAATCACAGACCAATTGTTATCTCAGGCTTAAGAAACCCGAAAAATATATCTCTAACTCAAAATTATTATTCTTTTAAAGTTCTCTGCTTTTTAAAGTTGGATCATGGCTTTTTTAGCTACCATGACAGAAAACTTGGTACGATCTTTGACTTTTACCCTAATTTATTTACTGATTATTATCTCATCTATCAAGTCTTACTGACATTATACACCCCTTTTCTTTCTATTTTATTCATCTATAGCCTCCACCCTTGCTGAGTCTTTATCATCTTACTACTAATGTGTATCAGCATTCTAATTATTCTCTGGCCTATGATTTTTTCTTCCTAAATCCTCATCTCCCATAGGAATAAATCAATAAACACTATCTACAGTTTTTAAATGAAGAAATCAGAGTGTTATCATGTTACTCAGAAATTGGAGGTAAGGAACTAAAGAATATCTGGGAGTTAAATGAGACTGCCTCTAAAGAACAGCACTCAAAAGTGTGAAGGGAGAGGGCAGAGAACTGCTTTGTTTTTATATAAACTATTTGACTCTTTAGACTATTACATCTTGCTTTTATTTTGGTTGATAGTTCTACTAGAAATAATTTGAAGATTCTTTATTAACAGCTGAACCAAAATTGGGTCAGAGCAGATCGCACAGGTATGGGGCATATATACCTTTACTTCTTTTCTCTTAGCTTCCTACTCAAGACATGGTGGTAAAATTGTGAGTTAAAATCAAGTGTTTCCATGTAATTCATATTGCACTGGCTCTGGCCCTCAACTGCTTATGCAGAAATTCCAGCCTGCTGCAAAGTACATCCCCTATTTAATTATTTCTGAGAGCCCCCATGAGGAGTCCCACACCTGTTCAGAAACAAATCCAATCCTATGATATTCTACCAGGTGCTGCTTCTACTCCATGCTGCTTTACCAGATGCTAGTCTGTCCTGGTGGTATTAAAGATGCATGATGGTGAGTGGAGGAAAGTGACCTTCTTTTCCCTTCATTATAGCTCTAATATGCTAAGTATTGGTGAAAGAGTTTTTTTAAAAAATTGTACTTATGTAGTTCTTTTTAAGAGTGGGACCTAAATTTGGGTCTAGATAGGCTGATCAGGAATGAATTCAAGCATTATATTCCATCACCTTCAACTCA